AAAGAGCAGTCTTTCTCCCCGAGCCCTTTGCATTTAATCAAGCCTCCGTGTCACCGAGACACCGGTCTGCTCTTTGAGTCTCAGTTAGGTCCAGCCCCTATCACACAGCTCCCTGCAGTTCAGCCTGTGCCTAAATTGCCTCACTTGCCCCTAACAGGCTTAGATACATGAGGAAACATGCTCCATTTGCCGCCTTGGTTTTGTGAAGTTATTAACCAGTCTGGCCACACCACCTCCATGCTTGATAGCTCCGAAAAAAAAAAAAAAAAAACTTCAGACTCCTCAGCCTGACGTACCCGGCGCTCGGGTCCCAGCCTCTGTATCTCTGACCTGCCCCCTCCTGGTCCAGCTCGATGGAACTCCACAGTTTCCTGGGGGAGTCACGCCTTCCCGCAACATCCTAGCTTAGTGTCAAGCATTGTGTTTTGGGGAGACTTTCTTTACTTCTCCCCATAATGGGAGCACGTCACCCTGCTTTGTTCCTCCATACCTATCATTCTTCCAGGAATACCTCTGACCACACAGTGTTGGAATCCTTCATCATTACTTCCAGGAGCTTCCTGAGGTCCTTGTGTTACCAGGAGCAATCCCGGGTCTGGTTCCCAGCTGCTCTAGGAATAGTATATATTTATTATATATAATCATATATAATAAATATACGAATGACTCTGCCCTGTAGAAGGAATTTACGATAATCCCTGCTACTTTTTTTAATGGGAATTCCCTGTTATTCTGATTCCAAAATAGTCATTAACGACACATACCGAGGTTTTGCTTGGAAAATATCGGAACTGCCTGAATGGCCCGCAGTGGCTCCCAACCCACTCTTCCATAAAGTCCTAGAAGCGTCTGATGGTGATGATGGCTTTTCCATGAACTACCTGAGTATTAATAAAAGCCTGTGAGAGGCAGGAAGTGAAAAGCACAATTTCAAGTTAGAGGCAGATGGATGCAACTAGAATCTTAGTTCCTGTTCTTACTGCCTGTGGGACATCTGATAGGTCTCCTTGCCCCTCTGAGTCTCAGTGTTCTCATCTTCCAAAAGGGGTTTTGGAACCTAACTTGCAAGATGATTTGAGGAGGTAATAGTCGATGTATTGGAAAGTTGGTCCCACTTGCCTAAACCTCCCAGAGGTGCTTTACATACCCCGTGTCCCCCGCTGCTCTGACATCTCCCTGTGTTCCAGGTTTCCCCCGGAAGCCCTGCCTCTCTGCTGAGCGTACCTTCCCTAGGATACCTCTGTGCCCCGAAAATCCCTGCCATGTTGTCACTATTTGCTCCCTCACCACCTGCTCCTTACCCAGAAAGACAAACCAAAGACAACCAAAGTAGGCCATGTTAGGCAGCTAGCTTCCAGGGAGTTTGGGGCTCCCACAAGTTTCCCACAAGAAGGGAGGCTGCCCAATGGCCTATTTGTCTAGGGACCACCTGGTTTCTTCTTCCTTGGGACGGGTCTGCGTGGAGTCCTAATAAGGGACTCAGCTTGGGGCTGTGGTTGGGGAAAGCCACCAACCAGCCCCAATAGAAATGGCCACCGGGTCTTCAGAGTCAGATCCGGGTGTGGCTCTCATCCTGGGCACCTACTAAGGGCGCTTGAGTAGCTTTTTGCATCTCTAGGCCTTAATGTCCTCATCTGTAAAAAAGAAAGTAACGCCTACCTTGTAGCTTTGTTTAGAAGATTAAAGGAAACATTTATGTGGGGATATGGAGTAGATTAAATGCAAACACTTCCATTTGTTGCTCTAACAAGCAGGGTACCAGCCAACAGTTCTCACCGAGCTGGGGATCGCCAGGTATTCTAGGTGATGACACACCTCCTCTGGGAAGCCTTTCTTACCCCAGAGTAATCAGCCCCTCTGGGATACCTCTGTCCTTCTCTTTGCAATGATCATAAAGGATTATTTTCTCTTAATATATCCATGTGAGCCATTGGACTTCGGGGTTAATGATAGCCCTGTGTAGTTTTTGCCTAAAGACTAAATGAGCTTAAGTGTGTGAATCAGCACAGTGCTTGGTGCACAGTAAGGATTCAATAGCTGTGAGCTATTATTCTATTTGTTTTCCTTACTTTTCTGTGAGCTCCTTGAGGACAGGAATCACTTTTAATCATCACTATCCCTAAGGTAACTCTTCTTGGGATTTCTGATCTCTTGGAGACTTTGCGGGTAGACTCTTTCC